TTTTTTCCCCCGCGTTGATCGTTCGTTATTAATTGGCGAACTAACAAGCAGTCGGAGGATCAGAAAACGTTGAATTTAATTTTTAGAACGTAACGAGAAAATCGACGCCCGCGTGGTCAAATAAAAATGTCGCGAAAATATAAATATTATGAACGCAAATACGCAAAACGACTGGGTGGGAAGTTTTTTATTGTTGCTCCATCGAACCGAGTCGATCGAGCTCAAATATTTATTCAGCAAACATTATCGTTTGTTATTCCTCGTAATCGTGAATATTCATGGTAAAGAAACTTTAAGGATGTTGATTTTTATAACGTTGAAAGATCGGTTGAGAAAGGCGAACCGTGTTTCTCGAGTCAATGATTTGTTGAATTGAAAAAAAAAGAAATATGTACGCGAGTCGATAGGAAAGAAGGTCCGAAGTTTTCGGGCTGGTTTCTTGGTCGGTTCGAGTTAACGACGAGAGTCGAATCATCGAGTGGCTATTAGCGCAATGTAATTACACCGCGATTACGCAACATCATGGAAAGAATTCGTTCCCAGAAGGTACCGGATGATAATAGCCTTCCTATGAGATATTTTGACTACCTTTCCCCTCTCTGTTACCGTGTGCCTAGCTGAATATTCATTTATCTTGAATAATTAATTGTATCGCGCAAAGAATTTTGAAACATTTATTTAAAAGATTGACATATTTTTTTATCGGTATTTAAAGAATCATCACTGCTAAGTCTAGTCGTCTAAATAATTCACAGTCATTACTATAACCGTGTGCATTGATTAAACAATTTAAAAGATAAAATCATACTACATAACGTCGATCAAAGTCATATAGACTGTCGATTTCTTTAAATAAACGTATTGAAATACTCGTTATTATAAATGCAACAAGAAATCCGAGCAAATTGCATTGATTTGATAAAAATACAGCAAATTAGCTGGTTCCACAAATCACAGGGAGGAATGATTAATTCAACAGGCACGGTAACGCGAACGCAACACTCGGAAGGAATAGCACACGGTGAATTGAACCGCACCCTACCGAGTGGGGGATTAACGCGACACATAAAGTAGAACTAATTTCCACGTTGAAACACAGGTCTCGCGGATTGGTCATTCTTTTTCGATCTAATTGCTCGCCGGCTACCAGCGTGGCAGATTAAGAGTGGAAAATCCAGTAACCATCCGCGTCATTTCTCAACGGGCGTAATGAACATTTCCACGGTTACGGGCGCGCGGCCGAGCGGCCGGGTTAGAGAGGGGTTGTCATTAATTCGGTGAAACGGAGGTTTCGCAACGTACCCGGCCCGTTCAATTTCATTAATCGTTCCCCGGCAAAGCCGTCTCTCGACCCCGTCCTGGTTTCACTTAAATCGTAATCTCGTACGTGCTCGGCCCAGCCCGATAAATCTGCCTCAAACACGCTTGTACAAGCGTCAATCCGTCGTTTCGACGTCGGTACCACCGTTGGCTTTCTCCGCTGGTCCAACGATTAATCCACAACTAGCGCGTGGTACGCGTCGATTAAACGGAATTCCCGAACGAAACGCTCGGTTTCCCGACGCGGAAAGCTTTCCTTTGGCCGGCACGGCCAAAGCGGATGTTCGTCGGTCTTTCGAGGTCTCCCGGTGAATGGCGATGGCTCGAGGCGTTTAGGCGAGAAAGTTTAACAGATCTTGGCACAATCGGGGGAAGATAAACCCGGAAAATAAGCCACCCAATGCAGCAAGAGAGAAAGAGAGACAGGGAGAGCTTAGATGGTATCTACAATGTTTGAGATCACAGTGGATGAGTTAAGAGGAGACCGTAGCTTGCTAGAAAAGATGAACAGGGAGAATGTCACACCCTCGGTCGGAATTATCCTCAACTACTTGTCCCTTGATTCAGAATACCCTTGCTCCATTTTGCTTACCTCTGAAAAGGGATTTCCCTGGGGTACGATGTTAAGAAGGAGAGTTTAGAGCAACCCGTCGACCGTCCTTCGAGAATCTCTTTGAACTCGATCAATTTATAAACTTCGAATTTGAATGCTTGTCGTGAGAATAAAATACATACGTGGCATTAATAAAAGATAATGCTCTGATTCGTGATCGACGGTCGACGCGTTTACGGAGACACCAGATTGAACAAAGGATCTTATGGGGCGAAACACAGTAAAAAAGGAAGTCCCAGGACACCCAGCGGTAAGTGTTTCAAGCGAGATTACGAGTACATGCGTGTGAATTCTTATGGGAGTCGATGCACCTTGCACAAACCACACCCTCTGTTAAAGGAAAGAACACGTTAAACGTAACAACGGATCGATTATTGCAGTGGAGATGGAGGAGGAAAGAGAAGAAAAAAAAAATTCAACGAAAGAACAAACCGGGGCTCGAAGTATGCGGAAATACGCGAACAGAAAACTTGAAGCTATTGTTGATACTCGCGCGTGGGTGAAACTTGCACCGTTGATTCTCGATTTGATGAGAGGAAAAAAGAAACTCTCGTGAACCACGTGTACCAGGTCGGACGATTCTGACAAAGTTCCCGAGGATTAAACGTGCATTCGCAATAATAAATTATTCTGAAAATTAATAATGTGTTAATAAAGGCAATTAAAATTAAATCTCATTCAAAATATAAATAAAATCAAACGAATCACCAAATAGTGATAGCATTTTTCTAAAAGGAATCGTCTTGACTGGTACCGTGTTCTTTATGATACACCATCGTATATTTACGAATATAATTAACTATGTTGCACGAAATTTCTGAATTTCGCGAAGCATACTTTTGAGACACGGCAAAGGAGAGGAGAAAATATTCGTCGCGGTCCAGATTGATTGAAAATAAAAAATAATATGATTTTTAATTATTGAATATTGTATAAAACTTTCCCAAGCGAGTGGTAGAATCTTTCCCTACGTTTACCATTTTCTTAAGAGAAGCCTTTCATGCTCGGCACTACATCAAGGGAGAGACGATGATTACGATCAGCAGGCTGGCGATCTCTCGATCGATTCCACGGAACGAGTTAAATTGACGTCGAACTCTCTTGGATGGTCTTGCGAAACGCATAAAGAGAGGTCGATGCACACGCGTGTAAAACCGACGACAGGACGTGTACGTGTATGACTTGGCTGTGCGAACGACACCGTGGAACTTCTCCACTTAAAGTTAATCCGAAAGTCATTACTCCTCAGCCAGAGGTCCTTAGAGCGAGTTCTCTCGTCGAGACGGTGGCTCGAACTTTAAATGCGTTTTTCTGAAAACGTACTTCAGCCACCGGAGGGGGCGCAACTCAATTTTAACCTTGTTCGCGGTTCTTACACGATTACTCTGCACTTTTACGCCCCCTCCCGTTCTTCTCGCGTGGTCATCTTTGTCTGAACGCACGGACGATCGAGACTTCGTTCCATCGTGGGTTAAACGAACAAGATTTCGATTTGTCATCGCGATTATCTTTCCCAATTATTCACATCGCCGCCACTATGATCGTCTTATCAACGTCGCCGTGGTAGCACGTCGTTTTCCTCGCGCCGCGAAACTAATTTCCGCCCGACAACTATTAATCACAATGACGAAACGCGTATCCTGGCTGATCAGCAATATTTCGTCTCCCCCTTTTCTCTTTTTCTTCTCATCACCCGTTGGCGATCATGGCGCTCCTCTGGAATCGAGTATCTGGACCGATCGACGCGATATGATCTCGGTATCGTCGCGATTCAACGATAAAAGTTAAAGAAGAAAAAAAAGGAGTATTAAAAAAAAATATATAAGATAAAAGAAGAGAGATAGGATTCCGCAGGATATTTCGTTAGATCGAGTGAGCTGGAAGAAGGGGATCTCGTGGAATGTGGATCGTGAGACTCGCGGAAATACGCGCGTGTTACGCGTACGTTTCGTGTGCCCTCTCGCGTGCATGTGTACGTGTGCGTGCGTGTGTGTAAGTTCTCGAGGGACGAAGACACAAAGATCGAAGGGAACAGAGTGGATGTTCACGAGGACCGGGATAGAGAAGCGACCGCTGAGTTTGCGATTCTTCCTATCGCACTGATCCACCGCGAAATACGCTCTTCAATGGTCAAGCAATTGGCCAGTTCGCCGGACCATATGAAGTCGTCCACTCCTTCCTCATTTTCTTTCTTCCCTGGATATATTATTTTCTCCCCCATTTTAACCCCTACGTTTATTTCCTTGCGATCTCGACTCCATGCTCTTTGCTCCATTTTCTTGGACAGAGGAAAAAGGAAAATACGACCTCGAGGAAACTGATGGTCTGAATCATTTTTAATGAACAATTTATATACGAAAGAAAAATTCGAATTGAAAGGTGGAGAAAGTTCAACCTTCCGAGGCACAACTTTATTCCACGCAAAACTCATCGAATTTCCGCATACCCGACGGTTAATAAGTTTTCATTCCCGATCGCGTCGATCGAGCCGTGCAATCGCGCGCGTAACTCTGCCTGTCGAGGCAGATCCTCGCGATCGGATCGAGATTCGCGCGGATAGATCGTATAGATCGTAGCAAGGTCATCGGGAGACTATGATCGATATACAGAGAGAAATACGCGCGCGAGAATGTTGGCGATATACAGGAAGCGTTTCTCGTTACCGCGAGGTAAAGTACCCTAGGCTTCCCAGGTGTCATGCTGGATATCTCGCACGGAACGCTCGTAAAAGCTTCGCCGTGTAGATACCGATCCACGCAGAAAGTCGGATCGCTCGATAACCCGGGGACCAAGTGACAAGCGCGATCTAACTTCGATCGGATCGGAACGTCTCCTTTAATTGGTGTTGGTAGACTCATTAAGGATAGAAAACGGCAGAACGAACCGTTTTCATTTTTTTATTTCATTCTATACCTACGAGAGTTCTACTTTTAACAAGAAATCTGATTCGATGCTGTACCATCATGGTTTCCTCGATGCGATTTTGTTAGGATCAAGGTTGAGGTTGATCGTTTTAGGATCAATTGTGTACGCGGGATGCAAGGAGGTCGATGATCGGAATACTTACTCGCTGTTCAACACACGGAAGGACTTTGGCGACATACAGTTGACGCTCCATTCGGTATTCCCGTGCTCGTTGCATATCGTTATCGAGAACCTGCCGTAGTTCGCTCTGATCAGGTGAATCAGCTTTCCCTCGCCGCACTCGAGCCTCAGTGTTTTGCCCTCGCAGGCGTACGCGGTGTCGTACCTCTCTGTAACAGAAAAAATGAAACGAGCTTGTTAATCTACTGTCATAATCCTTATCTACTGTAGCGGGATATTTCCTGTCGAAGCTACATAGTTATAAAAAAAAATAAACACCATGTAACCGGCATTATCCAACCATACCTCATTTTGCTCTCAATAGCCGTCATACTTAACGAGAGTTTAATTAGTTCTCAATTATGGGACAATGGAAAAACGAATGAAATAGCAGAGTCACGATTTCGTTGTAAGAAAACAACACGGTACCACATCCCCCCGTTACCATTCGCGATAGGCTTGAATTACCGCGAATGAACGAGGGGTCCAGCTTTGCAAGCGGCGCGAGTCAAGGACACGTCAAAGTAGCTCGCAACAAAATTACCGTGACTAGCTGGAGGGTGAAGGTGGCTGTTGCCAGGCCAAGGTACAAGGGGGTAGGTTACAAGGACACAGTTGATAGGCTGTGTCGCGTTGCGAAGTGCAATGGAATTAAGATAAAGAACACCGGTGTATAGACGCGTATATACAGGGGATGCAAACAATGAGAAACCGTCGGGAGAGGCTCGACTGTTGGCGTACGGTTCGTGGGATCGACTGAAAGGAGGCCGAGATAGCCCGGCTACGACTACGGCTCGGCTCTTTGTCGATCCTCCCCCATCTGCTCGAGGGATTTATCCCGCGGAAAATCTGCCGGCGGGAGGTTTCTTTTCAAAGCAAATTAGCGAATTTACGGGCGCGACTTTCCTCGAAGAAAAGTCGCGGCAAGACTTCTCCAGCTCCTCCTCGCGACAAGCCACCGCTGCCAGAGCGACGCGTTCTTCCAGAGACGGGCTTTTCTTCACGGACACAGCCCGTGGCTCGGTTTAATGGCCGCGAAGATGAGTGTCCCGGTGATATTGTATCCCTCTTGCGACATTCAGACCGCTGAATGCTTTCGTTGCAGTTCAAAACGCGAGCAACGGTAGGAGAAATCGTGTAATTGCGAAAAATAATTTTATTTTCAGTTTATCTTAGATGTTGAAGCTATACCAGGTTCATTTAACGGCAACAAAGAATCACACAGAGACGCGGAAGGTTAGCTAGCAAGATAAGAAGGGTTGAAAAGAAGAATAACAGCCAGAAGAAAGGATCGTAAAACTAGGTCTCCAGGCTTATTGAAGACGAAAGAACGATAGATGTGCCATAATACCGGTCGACCATAGTGTCCAGGTCGGTGACGAAGAAGGAGGTTTCGATGCCTCGAAGAAGGAAGGTGAGAAGTACCTCGGGGAACGAACTAGGACTAGCACAGAGGCAAGGAGGTGAGGAGGAACTTTGTTACAGGAGAGAGGGGTAGTAATAACTCTGTCCGTGAAAGCCCCGTCGTGAGTTCATTAGTTCCATACCGACGCGCCACAATGCCATTTTAGAGCGCTGTTAGGACTTTCCACGAATAACCGCCTTCGACGACTTCTTGTTGCCGTGAAATATCACGCCGGGAGATTTCAACCATTCAAACGCGTGCATTCTCGATGAGGCATAAGAAAAGGCATTACGATCAATCCGAATGTAATGGGAATTGGAAACTTGTGGGAATATCCTTGTGAGGAAAGACAAAAATTTTGTTACGACGTACCAGCCGCAAAGCAGTTCCACCGCGCCCGAAAAAAAATATAGGACACTCGGCGCACTAATTTGACGAGGTCACGAACCAACGAACAAATAAAAGATTATACGAGTGCACGCGATAATGAGGTGAATTCGTCGTCAAGGAAAGCCTCTATCGATTCGTCGAGGAAGTATCCCACCGTAAAAACGTGAGGTGCTTCGAATGGCAGGAAGAAATGCCGATTTTACGGGGCTCCGAAGCTTTCCATTGCCGTAAAGGATCGAAAAGTATTCCTCTTAAACGAGAGCAAAATCGCCGGTCACGCCAGAATGGATTCCTCGAGTCGAGGAAGGTAAGCGAAGAAACACAGTAGATTTTATAGGATCCAGGTAATTTCTCGAAGTCCGCGGTACCGATTAACAGGCTACGAACGAGCCAGCCCTCGGATACTATTCGCTGCCGTTTGTTCAACGTTAATTAACCGTGTCTTGATAACACCGTAAACGGCGGTTAATCGATATACGTACGAGGCTCGATCAGCGTCCGTGTGCGAGTAAATAGTAGTATAAAAAGTCTGCTGTTAACTGCTACTGCAAACAGAGCTCGAATGTGCATTGCTTCCGTGAAACGAGCGTGTCCTAACCGCGTGCATCGTGTCGCTTGCTTGCTCGGTTACTCGCTTGCTCGTTCGCGCGTCACTCGCAGCTGCTCCCCTGCAACCGGTGCATTCTCTCGGTGCACCTCTAACGCGAGTGCGATGAAAAAAAGGCCGCGTTCAAGCTGACGTAAGGGAACACGCTTCGCAGCAGCTTCCTCGTTCGGTCCTCCCCCCTGTCCTGGCATTCCACTTTCTTTTATCGCCGCAGACCGGTCACTTTCGACCTTTTCTTCGTGTTAGCCCTAAGTTTTTTCGCTCGGTTCGCGCCGCACGGACAGGTTCGAGGTTCTGGCCTTCCGATTTTAATGCGGACGAGATATTACGAGGGTCTGTCAGGGCTCCTTTGTCTTGTCGAACATCCCCGGCCTGGGCAAAAAACGTAATAATGTGGTATCCTGGGTGGAAGACGCGAGACGCGATAAGAAAGCGTGGAAAATGAGACACGAATACGCGAGGAAGGATAGGTGTAAACTTCCACCCCGTCGCGATGCAAGAGGACGAATTCGACGACTTTTGAATTATAACGCTTAGCCACGGTTTCACTAACAATTTTGGTTAAAGACATGACACGAGAAAACATCTGTGCCCGAGGTAAGTCATTCTGTCGTGTATATAATATTGTAGTGAACCATGCGATCAGAACAATGGGCCACGATTTTGTATAGCATTGCTCGGAAGATCAAGGCAATTGCGCTAATTAATTGCGACTTTTCATTCCACACCAGGTACACACGGTTTCTGTGGCCATTGTAAACGCGACTGTTAATCACGGTCGCCCTACTCCCCGGTGATGCAAAGTGAAAGGGCAGAGCAGGCGAAAGAGGGTAGAAGACTATCGTGATTCGAAGCGAAAAGCAAAATTGAAGTGCTACACGTCGGCAAAGCCTATGTGACGAAGCGTTTCTCTGCATTTTTCGATTTCGTTACGCTGTCTTGGAAAAAAAAGGGAGAGAGAAGAGAAAATAAAAATGAAACAGAGGATAGAAAGATATTTCCTCGTGGAAACGCGGGAACAGCAAGGATAATGACGGACACGTATAGAACGCACGATAACTTGGGTCGTCGTTGTCGTCACGACGCGGTACGACAGGGAAATCTGCCATCTTTTTAGAGCATTTCTCTCGTCTGACCCTAGCATTGCACTTTGACGGAGTGCATTCGAATGAATGCCGCGAAAAGTTTTTAACGAGCGCACTCTCCGGCTCTGCAATGCTCGGCTGCGTCTGGCGAAAATGACGCCGACGACGACGACGACGACGACGACGAGACCTGAAGGTGTAACGACACGATCGTTCGGAGAAAAATATTCCAGGGAAATTGCTGAATCCTGTTACCGTTTTTCTTCCGCTTGGATACGGATTGAAATAATCGCGAGCAAAGGACGATACTAAAGATGCATCGAAATCGATTCTTTTCAAGACTTCTTCGATACTGTTGGTGTTTTCTGATTCAGAAAACTGAGTCAAGCAAAGATAAATATGTACTTATATTGAATGAAAGAATAAATTTTTTTTAAATTGAAAAAGCGCGAAGTTAATTTTGATTCTACCTTGTCCTGCCTATCCTAAGCTACGATAGTTAAGAGTTAAAGTTACTACTCTTTACCTACGAATATTCTCAGAAAATACTCCGTATTTATCTTCTCCTGCAAAAATAGCTTCGTTCTACGCGCAAGCTGAAGCAGCGACAAATTGACTATCCGTGTTACCTTAAGTACCTTCCTACTTTTAGAGTACGTTGTTAGAAGGAAGGATTCTATATTTATCCGAGTGCAAAATTACGTAAATATCTGATGAAAATCATCTGTCAATTTCCTTTCTTAAATTATTAAAAGAACAGTAATTAATTGGAGAAACTTTGGAACTGTACTATTTTGCGCCAATTAACGCTGTCTCTATCGTCTTAACGTTCGAGAAGAGGATCTAATCAGCTGGGAATCTCGAGACTGCAGCGGAGACGTGGATTTCCATCACGATCCCATTGAAGTTCTTTGAAGTTACCCCGTTCATTGTCGTCACCGTTTCGCGACACACTCCCTTCGCGAGGGAAGGTGAGAATGCCGCAGGATTTCGTGCGGTCAATGTACAGCCCGAACTATGTCCAGGGATTCCGAGTACGGATTCTGAGACACAATGAGCTCGAAACTTGCCACGGTACGCTGGAAAGCCGTCTGTGTATACGTCCCTGTAAAGAGGTGGCCACGTGTATCGGTTCAACCCGGTGTGCTCGCGTACCTGCGAACCATGGGGGTGGAAGCGCTTGAATGCCGATAGAACCTTCCTCCTGGGGCAAAGTTTCAAGGGAGCTGCTTCGAGTATCTATGTTTCGAGTCGTTCGATCGCCCTCAGGATTTACGTACCGCGGTGAATTCGAGCGAAGAGAAGCTGCGAAAGTAAGGACGAACCGGACGTCCGTAGAAATCTAACGCCGCTACTCGGGTTTGGCTCTCGAGACGCAAGTTCTCGACTTTGATTCCGTCCTGGGACCAAGAGAACCTCTCGAAATCAGAGCTCGAATCTTCGACCGTGAGCAAAACCCCTAGCTAAAGTTAGACTTTTCGAGACGAGATTAGGTGCAGACGAAGGAATCCCGAGATCCCTGGCCCCGAGTCGGAATGAAAGGCATCGTATTATGCAGTTCACTTGTCGGAGTTCGCGGTGTATTTTCATCAATTCGAGATTTATCTCGAATCTATACGCGGCGATTCGCGGCCGGGCGAGCATGAAACGAGCGTCAACGATAAATAATGAACAGGAATGAAG